CTTAGCTGGCATTGTGTGGCCCGTGGTTATGTGCGGTGCAAAGTGTGCATGCTTTGTGTTCAGAACCAAGGCTGCAGTGATGCAACACGGGGCGAGCACTGTCAGAAACACCTCGGCTTCCTTACGCATTTGATTTTGAATTAACTTTTGGTCGTTGCACAGTCAGGAACTTTTTAATGTTGCCAAAATTTTCTCAATTGCGTACAAGGGGCTGAGATCCACGGTTTAAGAAGCACTGCTTGACAGCACTTAATCCGTTGCAACTTTCTTTAGGCAGCCAGGAGGCGCTGTGGTGCTAGATTTGGAGTTGGGAAGAGATGAATTCCAATCTTGCCTCAGCCTCATTTTCTTCATTTGTAAAATGGCTATAATAGCACCTACCTCACAGGATTATTTTGAGGAGCAAATGAGTTAATGTAGGGAAAGTACTTTGCAAACCTTAAAATGTTATATAAATGCTATCATCATTATTATCCACAAGAATAGCATTAAGACTGTGTCAAATGTTTTGCTAAAATCTAATTAAAATATAGGGCAGCCAGGTGGTGCACTGGATAGAGTGCTGGGCCTGCAGTCAGGAAGACCTGAGTTCAAATCCAGCCTCAGACACTTACCAGCTGTGTGACCCTGGTCAAGTCACTTCATCCTGTTTACCTCAGTTTCCTCATCTGTAAAATGAGCCGGAGAAGGAAATGGTAAATAAATCACTCCAGTATGTTTGCCAAGAAAACCCCAAATGGGGTCACAAAGAGTCAGACACGATCAACTTAAAATACATAGACGGAAAGACACCATGGCATATCTGGAATGAGGAAGTCCTAAGCTAAAATCTCTCCTTATACCCTGTGATCCTGAACCTCCGAGCCTCAGTTTCCTCAGTGAAGATAATCACACCTGTCTTTCAGAAGATTGTCGTAAGGATCAAATAAGAGAATGTATATTGCTTTTTCAAACTGTAAAGGATTATGAGCCACTATTACATATATCCTTTCCAAAACATAAAGTTAGCATGGCATGATGGGTGCTTGACAAAGCCATCCTGGGTCTCTGTGACCACCATTTCCCCTTCCAGATGTTTATAAACCAACCATAAGTAGAAACCAGGCTCACTGGCTGCTAATTTATAGAATCCATCCACTTCTTCTGACACTTGAGACCTCTGTCCTTCCCCAGCCCTTTGGCAACTCTCCAGTTCTCCATGGCCTATGGGGGCTCAGTCTTGGGCTCAGCAAGAGCAGGTGAGTGCTTTCTTACCATCATCTTGTTCATCTTAGACATCACTCATTCATTACTAGTGCTTTTTGTTCTGTCTTTTCAGATCCAAAGATCATTCTCCTCAGCAAAAAGAAACAAGACATGAAGAGTCATCCTTAATCATCATTCCATCCACTTGGAACATTACTCTTATCCCTTCTTTGATTCTCTTTTCCAAGTATTGTTGTTGTTGTTTTTTTAAGGCCATTTTGGTTATTTCTACTTATCTGTCCTTGTCTTTTACACATCTAAGCTGGTTAGTTTCCCTAAGCATTTGGCATTTAGTTTCTTTAGACAACTATCCCTTTTCCTTTTCACTAGAATTGTCTTCACAATTTTATTCCTGCAAGTTTCCCATCCCACCTGGGCTGCCTTCTTCTATGGGTCAGTGAGATCCCCCTTATCCTTTTTTCTAAACTCTCTGAAATGTACTTGTTGAACTAAATTGCTTTCCTAGAATCTCAGGCGTGTTAGCACTAGGCTGGTTTTCCTCTTCTCCATCACACATTCCAACACGGAATAGCCACTTCCCAAATTTCCCATCATTCCCACCCTAGTAAGCAATTCCTCCTTGTTGATAAGATTTGAGTCCAGAAAGCAGTTTTCCTTGTTGGTTCCTGTAACTTTTGAATGATGAAATTCTAACTAATGGAAAAAAACAGATGATGTAGTCAAAACACACTGCAGTTGAAAGAGCCCTAGATTTAGTCGGAGGCCTTGGGCTCACATCCCAGCTCTACCATTTACTATCTGTGCAGCTTTCGTGAGTCACTTTACTTCTCTGTGCCTCAGTTTCCTTACATGTAAAATGACAGGTTTGAACTAGATCACTTCTAAGGTCCCCTTCAACTGTACATCTGTCTAAAACTTACAAGCCCAAAGTGGAAAAGGGCAAATTCCTGAGCAATAAGAGTCATTCTCTACTTGGAATTATAACACATTTGAGTTCTGAAGCAACTCAAGAGATTATTTAGTCCAATCCTCTCTCCTAGACAGCATGAGTGTGACTTGCCCAAGGTCACACTGTTGGATCCTAAGTCCCTTGACTTGATCTTGTAATGGATAGAGTGCTGGATTCCGAGTCACTATTAGAGATTTAGAAGTAGACAGAACCTTAGTCTAACTACCCTTATTTTTATACATCAGGAAACTGAGGCTGAGAGGTAAGCTGACTTGCCTGGGATCACACACATAGTGTCTGAAACAGGATTTGAACCCAGAGCTTCCTGACTCCAAGTCCAGTGCCATCTGTATCCACTATACAATGTTGCCTCTCAGGAAGTCTGGAAGATCTATCGAATGTCACCTCTAACACTTGTTTATTGCAAGTCACTGGCCCTGAGTTTATTTTTCCATCTGTAAAATGAAGATAAAATCTGTAGGATCTACCTCACAAGGCTGCTGAGAGGATTAAATGAGATAAGGTATACAAAATACTTTGCAGATTTCCAAGTATTATCTAAATGTCAAATATTGTTATTTCCACTACCTCAATCTGCTTAGACTTACTCAACAGTCTAAAAAAAGCAAGTGATACTAATGTTCTTGTTTAGGAATTACTGAGACCAATTACAGGAAAAACTAACCAAGGAAGGAGATGCAGCGCTTCCAATACTACTGAAAAGCATGGTACACCCCTCATGCAAACCACCAAATGCCCTTCTTCTATGCAGGGAAGCGTAACGAGTGACAGACCACAGGACTCAGACAGAGACAGCATAATTCGTGTTTATGTTCATTTCCAAGAATGATAGTGGTATGTGGGAGAGGGGAAGGGAATGTTTCAAACGACTCTCAGTGACAGAGTCCACCCAGCAAAAGCAGAATTCCACAGGGATTTGTACTTCTCCAGCGTCCCCTCTTATTCAGGAAGCAGTGGAAGGAACGTGGGGCTCATTCTAAGCTATCTCCAGGTGCTGCTTGGCTCCCAAACTGTTAAACACCCAGAGAGATGGCTGTGGTAGCTGGATTAATGCTAACACAAAAACATTTTTTAAAAAATTTACTTGATATGACCGTTCTCAATTTTAGGAAATGCTTCCTATGGTTAGAAATGGCTCCAGTTTTAGTTCTTTACACCAGGAGTCTTGACGATGGGTGGTCTAACAGCCAGGGCAATGGATGGATCTCAGCCAATCTCCACAGTCTTATTATCTCAGCAGAGGAGGTTTACAGTAAATGCAGCTGTACACTAACAGAGAAGGATTTGTGGGCAATACCAAATTCAAACACGATCATCAGAAATTCAGAATCATCAAAAGAGACCCAACCAGAACAGTTTGAAAAACCTAACACTAATGACTTCAGGAATGATCCAAGGGTAGGAAAAATGTTCAGCAGTTGAAGGCTTAGTTCTAGAGTACCGGAGAAATGGATGTGGCTTCTTTTGGTCACTTGGGAAGAGTCCACATGAGGTTACTTATAGTTCATGCCGTCCTACGAAAGCATTTCCCTAAGAAAAAATCCCCAGGACCAGAAGGATTTAGGTAGAGAATTCGTCCACTGGCCTTGGGTGACCTATATTTCAAACAATAATTCTTATCAACCAAAAGTCAGTATCCAACAAATGATTCTTCCACATCATGAGAAAGCTGAACTCCAAACAGCTAAAACATAAGCAAAAGATGTCAAAAACAAAATTCAAGTCTTCAACTAAAAAGATGTGTATGAGAGAAGATTTAGCTCAGCTTCCTTGGTAATGGAGAGGTGAGATCCTTTAGGGTTCACCAATTATAAGGGGCTGTTCCTTGTACCTCAGTCTGAGGTAAATGGATCTCTATGAAAACTCAATCTCCAACTCAGAAGAAACACATGGTGATGTGCTGAGGTTTATTATTCAAGGTCTGTGTTTCCCAAACTGTGTTCTGTGGGACCCAGACATTCGACATAAAGTGAATAAGGATTTCATGAGAGAACTGAGTGATAGCATCTCTAAAATATTAAATATGAAATGGTGCATTATTAAAATGCTAATTATGAATAGCAATTTTCCATTATGAAAACACATTTAATGTCTTCTATTTTACTCCAAAATTTCTCCAACCTCCTTTATCCTAGGCGTTCCCTGGACAGGAATTTAAATGTTCAATCAAAACGCTTTTTAGCCAAAATAATTCTGTGGCTAAACTGATTTGGGAAACCCTGGTTTAGAAGGAATAAGAAGAAGTTGGGTTTCAACCAAACGCACATCTTGACTAGCCAGGGAGGCTAGCTAGAGAAGAATCTGGGTTAAAGTAAAGATGACAGAGAGTGCAGTCTGTATACTGGTCGTACCTTATGTTAAAAAATAAAACTAGAGGTAAAAACTGGTGGCTACTTGTGAGACTAAGGGGCTCTTATTAATAACTATGACTCAATAAACTTTCACTCTGCTTTCCCCCCTCATTCTACAGAAAGTTCTCCATCTGGCTCTCAAGAGCAAATAACAATCGTTCCCCTCACACATTGAGGGGATCAGCATATAGCGCATCCAGGAGAAGGCAACCAATGCAGTTCCAAGGCAGGTACAGGCGGATATGGCTACAGCATCAAGTCTCCGAGACGAGGACTTCAGATGAAATATGGAAGCGTCAGGTGGCTTTGCTGACAAAACTCTTCTGCCTCCTGGCAAAAGTAAGTGGTTTAAGGACAAAGTGGGCTTTTCCATTCACTGAGAATCATAGATTTTTAAGAGCTGGAAGCAAAATTAAAATCATAAAATTATTCAATCTCAGAGAAGGAAGAGACCTTAAAGGTCATCTAATCCAACCCTCTTCATTTTACAGATGAAGAAACTGAGGCCTAGAGAGATAAATGACTTGCCCAAGGTCACACAGCTTGCAGGTGGCAGAGCCGTGACTAGAGACTACATCTGACGACTAGTTAGTGCTCTTTCCACTTTAGCAGGCTGCCCTCTAGAAATTAATTCTAAAAACAAAACAAAAATAATCTTCAACTATATGAAGCATCTTAAAAATGATTACCGTAATGTCACAGTATTAAGAAAAGATATAAGGAATTTTCACGGGGATGTTCTTGTTTAAAAAAATAGAGATTTTTTTATGTGTGCATCAGAGTCTCTGGTTTCCAGATAGCGTCTTCTTGGGTGCAGAAAGGCGGGTTTCAGCAGTCCTGAGAGGTGGCCCCACTTTCAGTGGCACATTCGGGAGGTCATTTCCTTCTGTCAAAAACAAGCCCCCCAACCCAAACAACACAGTGAATTATGGAAATCAGAAAAAGGGTAAGAGGTGAGACCCAGACCACAATTCTACTGTGGGTGCCAGCTGTGAATTTATTTTTAGCCTACTGAACAACAAAAGGCACTAGAGGCAACAACCAGCCAGTAAATTATTCCAGCATTTCACAGAGGCATTAAAAGCACTTTGTGAGTATCATGGTTCTCTGTTACTTAGGATGGAGGGGAGGAGATTGGTAACTATTTTGAACTTTCCATCCTACGATCCTACCTAGATCATTTTCCTTTCCATCGCTTTCATCTGGATACAAAGACCTGAAGGGAAGAAGAAAGCTTGACGGGAGTGCTCCTTTACCCAGGATACACTGGCCAGGTAAGCCCTGGCTCACTTAATTCTTGGCTCTGGCCATGGCTGGTAACCTTAGGCAGGTTACTTCACCTGACACATGGCACACTGCAAAGGGTGCTCCATCTGGAGCCAGAGATCTGGGTTCAAGCCCTTGCTCTGCCTCCTTTACCTGAATGACCTACACTGGGCAGTCGACTTTCCTGGACATCAATTTCTTCACTACAGAATGAGGAAGTCAGACTAGATGAGTCAAAGGTCCCTTTCAATCGTTCAATCTATGACCCTACTCTGTCCAATAGGTAATGTGTCCTGTAAACCTGCCCAAAGGACCAAATGGCAATCCCTCTCCCTTGCCTGATGGACTCTACACATGCAACTTTGCATTGCAGCAACTGGTGCTCATGTCTCATCTCCCCGACTAGACTACAGTAAGCTCCTTCAAGATGACAGCCACGCTTGCTTTTCTTTCTCTCCCTGTTTCACATGCAGTATGCTTTGCTCATAGGAGGCATGTTATAAATGCCTGATGAACGAATGAGGACCCATACTGAATTTCCTGGCATTCTATCTCCAAAGAGCTTTTGCCCGTTTCCATTCATACTACCACAGTCCTGGCTCCATTATCCCCTATTAGATTAAGTGAGTTTCATTACTGCTCTCTCTGCCTCTAGTTTCTTCCCTTTCCAAACTACCCTTCATGCCAATACAGAGGCTGTCTAATTATCGCCCTCTCTCCCTTTTACACAGTTCTGTTCCTGTGCCTAGAACAGAATCTCACCTATACCTCCACTTTCCCTTCCTTCAAGTCCTTCCTGTCCCTCCTGCCCACACCAGCTACAAGTGATATTTTCTCTTTTCTATTATAATACACATCTTCTCCATCTACTATGGAAAAGCTGGGACATTCACTCTTCATAGTCTTCTTTCATGTATTTCTAGTGCCTAGGATAGAGTCTTGCACACAAGCATGCACTTAGTATTGGTTGAATTTCAAAAATGATTGCTGACTCGTAGGTAATGAGGAGGAGGTGCTGTTTGGCACTGACACTATTCATGGGCAACAGGAAGCAACTAATTGTATGCCACCAAAAAAAAAATTGGTGCTACTACATTCTAGGTTGAACATTGGCAAGTCTGAATGCATCCAGAGAAGGGTGATAGGCTGGTCCTTAAGATGATCAGACTCCCAAGCCATAGAGGCCTGACAGACACAACTGGGGATGTTTAGTTTGGAGAAGAAAAGGCTTAGGGATAACAGGGTAACTGTTTGCAAATATAGGAAAGGCTGTCATGTGGCAGAAAGATATGACTTGGTTTGTTTGGCTCCAGTGAGGATGCCAACTACTGGATTTTGGCTGAATATAAAGAGAACTTCCTAACAATTAGAGCTGTCCAGAAGTGTAATTAGCTGGCTCAGAAGCTAAATGAGTTCTCTACCCCTGGAAGTCTTTAAGCAAAGGCTGAACAGCCACTTGTCAGAAATGTTGTAGAAGGGATTTCTTTTAGGTACCAGTTGAAAGAGCTAACCTCTGAGGTTCCCTCCCAATTGAGACTCTATGATAATATGAACCTTCTGGGCATCAGAGAGCACCATGCATTCAGGGAGCAGATCGACAGAGCGGAGCAGAATCTCTTAAGGGACAAAGACCTGCCTGTTTCCCTCTCACATCACGATCCTCTTTTTGCCAGTGGAAGAGTCCTTCACACTTGCTGCTTGCACAGCCTCAACACTCACTCACTTCTCAACTTCCTGCAGCCCAGCTTCCATCCTCCTTAATGTACTGGGCTGCTCTGCGCAAAGTTACCAAGGCCTCCCAGCTGCCAGACCCAGGAGCCTTATCTTAATTCTTGTACCCTTAATATTTGTAACATTTGACCCTTTGCATGTGTGTCCTCAGAACCCCGAACAGTTTCTGGCACACAGGAGACATTTAAATGACTGACTGGCCACTCCTCCTCCTTTCTGAATACTTTCTCCTCCCTTTTTTCCTGGGGCACCACTCCTGCCTCTCCTTGTACTTCTCTGATCATTCCTGGGTTCCACTGCTTTTTCCTTTTCCTCTTTGAACCCGTTCCATGTGCCCTACAGAGCACGCCTCAGACTTCTCACACTGCAGTCTCCTGGTATTCTCATTCCTTAAGCACAGATCTACCACCCACATTCCCTCTAACTAAGTCTCACTCACTCGTCCCAGTGTGACTTTCCTTGCAGACAACCCTCGTCCTCTTCCAGGCCACATCCCATTCCCACTCCAGTACCTCCAGAGCTACTGATTATCGGCCAAGCCTCAGCAAAGGAAGAAACGCCTCTGTCAATAAAGGGCACTTTCTTTCCACTTAGGGCAAAACAGACATTGCCGCTAGTACCTGAAAACGTGGTTTTTCTATTACTCAAGAGTTGTCAATTTTGGAAGTTAACTAAGTTGTTTATTAATTACGATTTTCAGATACTTGGTCTTTTGGGCTGGGGACTCCTACTTTAGCTGGTTAAGTGCCAGAATCAGGGTCCGTCTCCCGGTAGTAAACCCTTCACAGTGAAGTTGGTCATCTCGACTTGCCAGAGCTTTGCTTACTAATGGATTCAATTAAAGCCAGGGAGAGACTCTGCCAGTCCCCTACTTCAAGCCTTCCCTGAAGCATTAATCCCCTTGAGGTGGTGAGGACAGCCAGAAGGATACAAAGCAAGTCACGATTTGTTACCCTCACCCCCTGCCCTGCCCCCACAGCTCTGCCTCTACTCACCAGCGGTTCTAACTCTTTGGTGTCTATCAGGTTAAACTCTTTCACAAAATAGTAGAAGTGCTTATAGCAGGTGTTCACGTGAGCCTCAGAGCCCATCTGAGTGATTCGGTCAAAGTGGTGGATGTAAACATGAACAAAAACTCTGAAAAGCCTGGACAGTATCTTCTTTACCACCTGCAGAAAGTTCTTGGGGAATGGAGTACCTAAAAGAGAAGGACCAAGAATGAGAAGGACTACATTTTTTCAAAAATCATTTATCTTGTGCTCTAGATGACTACAGTGACAGTGAAAGCCTGCTAGTCTCTTCTAAAGTAACAACACACATCCGCTAGGCAACTGACAGGATGATATATTTCAATATTCTAGTTTTATTCTAGTTTAAAAAATTTAATAATTATATAAAGGTTTAATCTTTAATCAAAGTACTCCTGTAGGTTTTATGTTGTCTTAAACTTTTGGTTTTGCTTTAGGAAAAACTTGGGGAGTTAATTACGGGACTAGGTTAATTACTCTAGTTCACGTGGTAGAGTGGAAGGTATGATGGACTTGAGAGTCAAGAGACCAGGTTCAAATAACAGCTGTAACTGTAACTCATTAGCTGTGTGACAGTAGGCAGGTCATCATCCTCTCTAAGGCTCGGTTTCCTCATCTATAAAATGGAGATAATCATAGCCCTGTTGAACTCATAGAGCTGTGAGGAAAGCACTTTCTAGAACTTCAAAAATGGTACAAAAATGTTCTGTATCTCTGCACCACTGCCCTCACCTAAGGTCACGGGTAAATACAACAGGTTAAGATCTCAGGTCAAGACGGCTGCCTGAATGGGAGGCAGACCATCCAGCTCCCACGTACTTAATCCAGCAACACTGAAAACCAAATAACGATCAAGGAACCCAGTCAGAAAGCAGAGCGAATCATGGCTTCCACCACAGAACTTCACCAGACAGCAGCCAACAGCCTGAGGGCTTTAGAAAAGCTCCACCCACTGACTAGGAACACTACTGCGAAAACCCAGAGCTTTCAGGTCAGAGAAAAAAATACCGTAAGCTGTCAGAAAGAAAGAATTTAAGTACTGAGGAGCCACAGTCAGAATCACACATGATCTAGCAGCCACCGCTACAGAGGAGTGGAGACTCTGAAATACATCATTCCAGAAGACAGAGGATATAATAGGCTTATAGCCAAAGACGATTTACTGAGCAAAACCAAGTATAAGCCTACAGGGGGAAAAAACAGATCTTGAATAAAACTGAAGACTTCCAAACGTTCCTGATGAAGAGACCAGAGCTACACATAAACTTCCAAGTGCAAACACTTCAAGGAGTCACACAAAAAAGCAAACACGAATGCATACTCATAAGAGCCTAAACAGGATAAACTGCTTACATTCCAATACGGGGAGCTGATACGTATGTCCCCAAAGAGTTCTATCATCATCAGGGGTCCCCAGAGAGAGTCGAATTAGACAAAAGCTTTATAGTAGTTCTATCCTGATGTTCTTAAAAGAAGAATGGAAAAGGAGGGGAATCTGACATTTAAGATTCTCATCTGAACTGAACAAAGGAGAGAATACATATGTGTATACACACACACACACACACACACACACACACACACACAGCTGCATACAGAAATATATTGCTCAAAACAAGGAAACAGGAAGGAAAAGGACAGAAGGGGGATTTAGAGGGTAAGTAGATTAAGGGAAGCATTAATACAAAGCAAAACAAACTACTAAGGATGTAAAAATATTTATAGCTCTTTTTGAAGTGGTAAAGAAGAGGAATCTGATGGGGTATTCATCAACTGGGGAATGGCTGAACAAGTTATGACATATAAATATGATGGAATCCTATTGTGTTATAAGAAATGATGAAAGGATGACTTCAGAGAAACCTAGGAAGATTTGCATGAACTGATGCAGTGATGTAAGCAGAACTAGAATGATTTATACAACAGCAATATTGTAAAGACAAACAACTCTGAAAGACTTAAGGACTCTGATTATTATAATGACCAACTATAATTCCAGAAGGCTCAATGAAACATGCTACTCTTGAAGGAGAAGTAAAAGATTCAAAAGTACATAATGTGACTTTTTTTTTGTGGAGATGGTCAATGAGGACATTTGTTCTGCTTGACTAGAAATGTTTGTAACAGGAATTTTGCTTTTTTTTTTTCTCAACTGGGAGAGGGGACGGAAGTGTAATGAGGCAGTTTTCACTGATTAAAAAAATTAATAAAATAAAAACAAACAACAAAAAAGACAAGCAGTATGAAATGGAGGTTCACAGTTGGCATTGAAAACCTCTTTTTGCATTTTGCTGTGTGTATGGAAAATGTTCTTTTTTGGTATTTGACTTCAAAATAAAAAAAAAACTTGAAAACCTAATACAATGATCTTTAGAAGATTGCCTAAATTTTTTTGAGCAAGTTACCACCTGGGCCTTCATGATGATTTTGTTAAACAAGTATTTTAAATGACTTGGCAATAAATGTAATGGAATTTAGTCTGTTTACACATACAGTAGCATAGCCTCTTGAAAGACTGCTCTATATACGTAGCATTCAGCTTTTTACTGTCTTCCAGTGATAGTAGCAAGCTTAGAAAGATGGCAGTGCATTTAGAGACAAAGAGCTATGGAAGAGGCATCAGGGACAAGATCTAGCATGGTTCTGCCACTAACAAATGACCATAAGCAAGCACTGCCCTCTCTAGGCCTCCTCAGTTTCCTCCTCTGTAAAATAAGGATGTTAGTCTAAGTAACCTATAAATGTCCTTCTTATTCCAACATTTATCTTATGAAAGACCTGTTGCTTCTCAAAGTACTTTCAGGTACATTATTTCTTTCAATCTTCAGTTTATACAGCATCTGTCAATCTACAAGAGCATTTTCATAGAAGATATCTTATTTAATCCTCACAACAATTCTAGGAGGTAGGCAAGACAGGATCACAGACGGAGAGCTGAAAAGGCCCTTGGATGCCATCTGGGTGGGGTGCCTCCATTTCGTAAAGTGGAAGCCCAGAGAGTTTAGGTGACTTGCCAAGGTTACAGAGGGAATGAGTAGCATAGCCAGGGTTGGACTCAGGTCTTCTAACTCTACCACACCCAACTACATCTTTTTATTGATTTCAATTTAGAGGCATCAACTTCATTTCCAACTGAAGAAATGGAGGCACTGAGCAGTGAAGCGCCTTGCCCAAGATCACACAACCAGGTGGTGGTGATGCTTGGTAGAGCTGCCAGTCCTATTTGCAGCACTGTCATTGAACTGAGATTAGAGAAAAGCCCAGAGAAGCTACTGAAAGGTTAATAAAGAATATTTGAGGAAAAGTGATAAGAACAGGCAGCATTTAACTTGAAGAAGCTGAGGGGCAATCTGAATGAGTCACATGGGACAGTGACCAACATAAATGCTCTCCATAGCTACCCAGAATAGGACAAGAAGAAACATGTTTAAATAACATTATGAAGGGTTTAGATTAGCGAGAAAGAAGAATTTCTTGGCTGGGAGAGTTGTTGAATATTGCAATAGGCTACCAGAGGGGCTGTGGAAAATCTTTCTCTGGAGATCCTTTATTTAGATACAGATTTTCATTAGTTAGGATCTATTTAAATATAGACCTGTCTGAAATAGATCAGATAATTTATAAAGCTCTTTTCCGGTCCTTTAATTCTCTGGTAAAGGAAACTTTGGGGAGATTAAAAATTTTTTTTAAAATCTGAATGACAAAATATATAGTCTACTATATAATCTGATCCAATGAGCATTTAATCTATACTCAAGGCACTGGGAATACAAAGAAATAAACAAAACTATCCTTGCTCTCAAGCTTACACGCTATTTGGAAGAAACAAAGTGTTCACCAATAAGCAAAGAGAATAAATATACACACATAATATACAAACAATTTCTTGGGAGGAAGGGGGCAATACTAGCAACTGCGGGAGATAGGAAAGGGTTCTCATAGGAGGCGAAAGTTAAACTGAACCTTGAAGGGAGTAACCAGAGTTTCTACAAGGAAGAAATGAGGAAGGAATGAATTCAAGATATGAAGGCAGTTGGTGCAAAAGAATAGAGAAAGAAAATGGATGTTATGTATATGGAATGGCAATTTGGCTGGAAGACAGAGTCAGTAAGACTGAGCAATGTGAAATCAATCTGGAAAGACATGTGGGAACCAGATTGTGAAGGGCTTCAAAGGCCAAAGAAAGGAGTTTGTATTTTATCCTGGGGGCAAAAAGAGCCCACTAAAAGCTTCTTCAACAGGGTAGTGACATGGTCTAAAAACTTTAGCAACTGGTTGAACCCCATTTATCAGTATTACATCTAACACAGTTCTCATTCTTACTTTCTCCAGCTTTAGAAGAATGAGATTACCCTTAAAGCAAGCTACACACTTTTCAGCTGTTCTTCTGGCAGATATGCAGGTAGCTCAATTCCTCCATCATGACAATACTATGTCTCTGTGCCAAATGTGTGCCAAATTGCCTTGAGGCAGAATTACAAAATCTCACAGCTGGAAGGGACACCATAATGTAGTCCAACCACCTCCTTTATCATATGCCCTCAAAGTGGGCAGAAAGGGCAAACCCCACCACCTCTTAAGGCTGACTCCACTTCTGTAGAGCTCTCATTATTACCAAGTCTTTCCCTACATCAAACCTAAATGTGTTGTTGAATCAGGATCTTTGGCATTCTTGCTTGCAGTGATTCTAGAGAGCCTGACATGACCACAGAAGACAAGGTGGGCTAAATAATGAAACCTTTGAGTCTTCAGAAATTTTCCTTTATATTGGGAAACTCTGGTTTCATTCAACTTAGTGCAACCACATTCTCTTAATATGTTACTGTCACCCTCCCTTGTCTCATCTTCCCAATCCAGTCCAAGAAACTTTTATAAAATGCTCTGTTTGCCCAGAGGCCACAGAAGGGCTTGGAGCTTGGCACTGGCACCTGTTAATGCGACTCTAAAATGTGGCGTCCAAAAGGAAACACAATATTCCATATATGGTCTGACCAGGCAAAGTACAGTGGAACTTTCATTTTCCTTTCTCCAGCATGTCATCTAGTCCAACCTATACCCGAACAACCTAACAACTGGGCACTCGGACTCTTCCTGAAGACCTGCCTTGAGAGGTAATCCACCCCCCACCTCCCCCAGGTACTAGAAGCTCATTCTAGCTCTTCTAGTTAGG